CCAGCCAACCCGCCATCCCAGGGAGGGAGGCGGGGGCCACCGGAAGGAGGGACTCCCCGGGGCCCCCCAGGTTTGTCCGGGTGTGCGCGATTGAAGGAGGTGAGAAGAGCAGGATCAAGGATGAAGGAGCGGGGAATCCAGAACCGCTCCTCTGGACCGTAACCTTCCCAGTACACCAGATATTGGAAACCCCGGCCCCTAGGGTGGACATCCAGGATTTGCCTGACGGCTAGTGTGAGGAAAAAGAAGAGAGGAAGGTGTAGCTGGGCAAACCTGACAGTGTGGGGAACCTGAAATCTGAAGAGATGCGAATAAAGTAAAAACAGGTGCTGCAAATCAACTTGAATCACAAGTTTGCTCAGGTAACACTGAACACTGTACATCAGCAAGACTGAAGAGCTGGACATTTGCCACCTGAGGCTAAAGCTAATTTTCTAAAAGTGAAGCTATGTAACTTTTGGAGGTAGAAATACCATATTCTGCTTTTTTATCAGTGAAAAGTTGAATTCTTGAACAAAAAAGCCCCTTCCTTAATTCAGTACACTCAGTGGGTTTGTAGCTATAGCTTGGTCTGCTATGACCAGTGGCTTGGAGAGGTGAACGTTGGCCTGTGTTAGTTAACATTAGTTAGACATTTCTAACTTCTCCTTTTGTATGGCAGCAGAATTATGACTTTAGTCTTTAGCACTGAAAAATAAAGTTTGGCAGTGAAAACAAAACAAAACTGTAACTGAAAAAACACTTGTACTAGGGGGAAAAAATCATTGGAATTTAAAAAAAATGACAATTTTCTGATTTTTTTGTTTATGACAGCTTTTTCCAGTGCCAGAGTTTTTTCTTTAGGTTTCTCTTCTCTGTCACTGTTTTGGTGTGGAAGAGAGGGCTTTGAGGGGCGGGGCCAAGGAGAGTGTGAGTTATATGCTGTGGTTGAGATCCGTGAGGAGAGGACGGCCCTCTCCCTTAAGCCGCCGTCCACATCGAGGCTTCTGTCTGCCAAGCACGTAGTTACTGCAGCAGCTTCACCGAATTCAGCTGGAGCTCTCACACTGCTGTGTGTTCCTCTCTACTGGTGTCTTTACTCACAGAACTGAGCTACGCTAAAGCTCACTTCTAACTAACGTTATGCAGGTGTGGCAGGGGTCTGCTGCAGCAGGTGCTCATGGGTAGCTAATATAGCTAATGTTAGCTGTAACTAACATCAGCAGTGCACAGCTGCTTATCAGAGACAGTAATGTTAGATGGCACAGTGCGGGACGGAGCTAATGAGTTTTAGGTCTGTCTGGAGCTGGAAAATGCCAGTAGAGTGACGAGATGGCCTGAGAGCTACTGGTGAAGTTGTACAGTGCTGAAGTTGGCTTCTGATTCGACAGTTAAGGGAAACATGTTGCAGTACAGAGTGGCATTTTCTCTGCTTTTACACAGAAAGGGTTTCAGAGATTCTAGAAAAACCTTTAACACATTTGCCACACCACAACTTTAGCCATAAAGATTTCGTCCACAATAGTGGACTACAGCCCAAGAGTTATGATTGAACTGAATTAAGACTAAGTGTGCACTCCTTTGGTTTCTTATCAGGGAAATTTACTGCAATATGGCATGGAAGTTTCTTTTTTTGCCACTAGAGAGCATAACTAGATTATTTAATGTCATATGCAAGCTGCTACATGAACCTGATCACAAGGCCATACAAATGTTTGAGATTGTTCAGTTACAGTAATGGAAGTTTCACCTATGACACTTGTGTCTTTAACACTGCATCCAATGATGACTTGCTGGTATGCTCAAAGAAAAAACTGAGTATTTTATGAACAGCCACAGAGATTGTTGCTTCTGCTGACTGAAGAGTGTCACAGGCTTTCTGTTTTTCATTACAGCAGTCCAGTCATGTTGATTTACTGGGCACCCTACACTGACCTGAAAAGCAGAAGCACTTGGGATGGGGACAATGGGAAAAGTCCTGCATCTTATGATATTGCCACCTAAATAGCTCTACATATATTCTGAATATTTAGCTACGAAACATGGGCTATTCAGAAGAATGATACTATTGTGCTATTAATGTAAATGTGATAAATAGATTGCTATATGTCATGAAATGATGCCCTTGGGTCCAGTGTCAGTCCTAAACACTCCCCTAATAAGCTCAGATATGCCGTGTCAAAGAAGGCCTACAGTACAGTCTATTTCCTGTATTTGTGGCTGATACTCCCTGCTAGACCCATGGCCAAAATCATGTCTGGTCGCATTTTTGGTCGTCGGTAGCCTGTTCACACTATTCATAACGGTCTTTGAAGGCAGCAAATTTTCGCCTCCACAACATGAAGGCGTCATGCCACACGATCAGATCGAGACCGATCACATTCGCGTTTGACCAATTGGAAGCCACATCCAGGTTCTCCGCGGGTGCGTCAAGCGCGCCTGGCACAACCGGGAGCAGGCGGGAGGTTACACAATATAGTTACAATTTTCACTTGGGGTTTTCCCCTGTCATAGAGAATCATAGAGAAGCAGCATCTTAAGCCAAAAGAACATAAAAAGGCCTTTAGGCAACTTATCAAAATGAATGAATAGGGAGAATTCTGTGATACTGACAAAACATGAATAGATTTTTGACTATATGTACAATACGGTTTGACAGCTTTTTTTCAAAAATATTGTAAATGTGATGTTCAAAAAAAGAGAAAAACTAAAATAACTCAAAATGTACTTTGAATAATGTCAAACTCCCCGGTCACCACCACCACTCCGAACCAGAGCGCAAAGCCCTTTGGAAGCCCGGTTAGCGATATGGACACAACACAAGTGTGCGATCCGAAAGACAGGACCCGGGGAATAGAGGACGCCTGGCCAATCCTCGTGGAAAGGCTTGAAAGGGAGCGTTTAGTGCATGGGGAAAAATCTCCAAACAAAATACAAACATGAAATCAAGACACAGCAAACCTGTTATACTTATGCTGTGCAACTTCAGACGCTATTACAGCACAAAATGAGATACCGTAGAACTTAGCGCCTTATTCCGAAATTCCCAACCGGATGCATCAATGTATCAACTCCTTTATTGACCTCGCGGGGAGAACCGACGTTCGAGCGTTGATCCGTGTGCTACATCCAGTCGTAGAACCGTCAGTGGCCATATGCAATTTCACCTCATTCATTCATTTTCAGGCGCACTCGGGCTCTTTTTGTTTACACGAAAGTGCGGTTTTTAGGATAAAAGCTGCGTGTTTCCTTCTGCTCGGCCACTTTTTGGACGTGTTTGAGTCTATGTGCGTCGAGGTTGAGTGGTGACAGCACGGTACGATGATCGAGAGACCAGAGTCTGCGGTCCCCAGCATCGCTGTAAGTCCCTTTCTAACCCTAATACCTAACCCTAGTGCTAAGGCCACTTTGGTTCTAACGGGCTAATGACTGAGGTTTCAGTAGGGATGCGCTGTTTATCCGCATGCGTGTGTTTTAGTCGCTGTTCGTACCGAGCTTTCTGACGTGGACCGAACCGCACACCAAATTCCCTTAAGAATCTGCTTGTTCTAGGATATGTTCTGTATCTATAAAGACGTATTCTACAGTAAAACATCACTCACCGCTTCCGACAGATCGATATAGTCTACTGATACATTCGGCACAATTTAATATAACGATTACTATATAACTGTTTTACTAGAATACAAAGTGTACATTTATGACAGATTATGCTGATTAAGCAAGCTTGTAGGTAGCGAATTTTCATTTTTGTTGCATAGATGGACCGGATACTGTTTTTTTTTTTTTTTATTTAGTTTCCAGTTTAGACCCAACTTTTAAAGAGATTACACTATAATGTTGTCTTTTAGTTGCAGGCGGGCGTTCTCAGAATGTGAGCCAGAACATACCAGGACTAGGTTTGGGTCAAACTTCAGAATCTGAGCCAGAACATACCAGGACTAGGTTTACTTTAACAGTGATGGTCGTGTGATTTTATGCTTTTGTCCTCCTGTGCAGAATCCCCTCAAGATATCTCGCAATTTTGGCCTCCAGCAGTATCAGTTCCAACAAATGTGAATTTAAGCAAACCATTGCCGAGTTGACATCATTATATTAAAAACAAAAGTAATGGAACCAACTGACATTTAAGAGATATGAGACCCTGTTTCCCAGATTATGGATGTATGTTTACTGCCTGAGAGCAGTTCCTCAGTAAACTGCTTCATTGTTGAATGGGATTTAGTGCGACTGTCTACACAGCTGCACTTAGGAAGAAGCAACTGGCGGGTCGACCACATCTGCTGCTTTTGTTTACTGGCACTTACTTTTAGCAGTGAGGGATTGCACTTTACCTGTCTGCGATACAGTGTGCAGCAGCTTTCCTTGACATTACACCGAGCGGTGCGAAGGCACAGTGGGTGCAATGTGTTCACAGCTAAAAATAGCCAAAGAAAAATCACACGGCCACTGTTTTCAAACGGTTTCTGTCAGCAGTATTAAGTGATGCAGTATTCATTACATAATTAGTCTTGTGATGTAACAAATGGAAGTTTAGTAACAGCTGATGGCAGTAGGGTCCCAGGATCAGCTGGCCCCACACTACAGGATGATTAGACCGATTTCAGGGCCGATTCGCCTACACGAGGCCACTCGGAAGAGATTCTCAGGCCAAGTGATCCTGTGGTGTGAGGTGATGAATCACCTAATAGTCGTGTGTCCAAACAGGATTGGGAGGCCCCCGATCTTGTATCATGCGTGTTTGATGTTTACGACTTGGAGTCCTGTATTGTGGGGTCAACAGAGATTGAATCCTGACCAGACTCCAGCCAATGACAGCGAGCTGGCTGGGAATAGGTACAACAGCTTTTAGCATTAGCTTGCACTGGCCTCCTCGTTTCTTAATGTCAAACACCTCCAGCTCATGCTGCAAAATGTGAAAGCTGTGTTTAATTTTTCTAAGACTTCATGCACAGTTTTTCTCCTCTTTCTTTTCTCAGCACAAAACATAGAAAACATGGCACACACGAGTGCTGCTGCTTGATGACCAATGTCCCCTCCAAGTTAGTTTTGTTTGTCATGTTTGATCACGCGAGTTTCTGTGAGACCCCTGGTCTATGGAATTGGTGTTTCTGAAATCATTCAGTAAAAACAGCAAGTGTGTGGTCCTACCCCCTGACTAAATCATCATGTGTGCTCCTAAGATTAAAATATGAAAGCTATCTGTTAAAGCTGTCATTATATCTGTTTTCTCTTATGCTTTAAAATCAGTTAAGATTATAAAATCCTCTCCTGCGGGCCAAGCTGAAGGGCGTGGACTTGGCAACAGAGATGATGTCAGTGAACCAGGCAACTACTATCACCACTGGGTGGACTGGGGGAGGGGTCAACATGAATGCTATGGCCTTCCCTTCTTTCAACCCCCATTACTTCCTTCCCTGCCTTTCCTTTCCCATTCACTTTCTTGTGAAAAACAACCACTTTCATACTAATGCAGCCATAAGGGAAAAGTGTTGTTGTAGTATTGCAGTAACAATATGATGTACACTGTTATGAGTAAGCTGCCGATGATGTTTCAGGCTTATTTTATGGGACTTTCAAGCTTATTGTATGCCCTATTGTGTGTGACAGACACAAGAGCCCTGAAAATAAAAGGGTTTTTCAGTCATGCTCCCGTGAGCATACTGCATGTTGGTGCACACATACAGTGCCTTGCGAAAGT